AGAGTAGAGTAGAGTAGAGTAGAGTAGAGTAGAGTAGAATAGAAAATTCTTTATTGGCCAAGTGAGATTGGGCACACAAGGAATTTATCTTGGTGCAAATACTCTCGCTGGTCATAAAAAGAAAAGATACAAAAAAGCTAAGTTTTTTTCGGACAGCCGTTCATACGAGATCACCGAACCAGCTGTTCCCCCGGCAGCCTCCCACCACCGCTGAGGAACTCTGGGAGTTGAAGTCCACGAGCCTTCAAGTGGCCACGGCTGGAGACCCCTGTTCTGGTCCAACCCTCCCTGCGAGGCAGGTTTTTGTTTTTTTTTTGCTCCTTACCAGGCCTGAAGCGCACAGATGGGGTCGATCTCAGTCACGTACACAATGGAGCCCATGGCCTTCAGGGCCGCGCAGCATCCTTTCCCCACCTGGGGCAGGAGAGGAGGAGGAGGAGGTCAGGAAGGAGGCTTGGAGAGAGGGGAGTGGGGGGGTGACCGGAATCTGTCACCGGAGGGCAAGCAGACCCTGCTTGGGAATCCCCAGCCCTTTGCAGCCCCGCGGGAGCCTCTCCGACGTCTCTTTCGCTCCTCCTAGAGAGCCCGGGAGGGTCCAGGCAGGGCAGCAATAGGTCTGTGAATTGACAGAGATCCCCACAGCGGGGAGGGGGACCTTGTAAGTTTTGCTGCAGAAAAGGTTAAAAAAAATTGGTGTTTTTTTTTGGTGTGGGAGGCGGAGAGAGAAGCCAGATGAGTTAGAGCAGAGTTCGGGAGAAATCACGTCGAGACAGCCCATCCTGGGCCACTTTTAAGGTATGTGGACTTCAATGCCCATAATTCCCCAGGCAGGATGAAGGGGGAGGGAGGGAGGGAGGGAGGGGAAGGACAGAGGGCAGAGGAGAGGAGAAGGGAGAGAGGAAGGAAGGAAGGAGAAAGAGGGAAGGAGGAGAGGGAGGAAGGTGAAAGAGAGAAGGTGGGAGGGAAAAATGAAGGGAAGGAGGAAGAAAAGGAGGGATGAAGGAAGGGAGAGGGAGGGAGAGAAGGACAGAGGGAGAAAGAAAGAAAGAAAGAAAGAAAGAAAGAAAGAAAGAAAGAAAGAAAGAAAGAAAGAAAGAAAGAAAGAAAGAAAGAAAGAAAAAGGGAGGGAAGAAGGGAGGGAAGAAAAAAAGGGGAAGGGAGGGAGGGAAGAAGAAAAAATGAAGAAAGCTAAGAAAGGAAGAGGAAGGAAGGGAGAGGGAGGGAAGAAAAAGAAAGGGAGAGGGAGGAAGGAAGAGAGGGAGGAAGAAACAAATGAAGAAAGAGAAGAAAGAAGGAGGGAGGAAGGAAGGGAGAGGGAGGGAGGGAGAGAAAGAAAGAAAGGGAGGGAGGAAGGAAGGAGAGGGAGAGAGGGAGGGAAGAAAAAGAAAGAAAGGGAGAGGGAGGGAGGGAGGAAGAAAAAAATGAAGAAACCGAAGAAAGGAGGGAGGAAGGAAGGGAGAGGAAGGGAGAGAAAGAAAGAGAAAGGGAGGGTGGAAGGAAGGAGAGGGAG